TCACATTTTCTGGGCTGGGCACAACCCAGAACTGCCACCACAGTGCTGCTGTTCCAGCCTGCCACGGGTCCATCCCCTGGCACAGTACAGCCCTGCCCCAGGAACCTGACACCCTCAGTGTGAGCACCAAATCCACTCAGCAGAGCAGGAGAAAACCTGCTCAACTGAAATGAAAGGCTGAGATAAAGGGTTAGCTGGAGGATGGGAGGAAAATGTTTTTTTTGAGGATTATTTCTAGCGACTATTTTATCTCGAGGTGTCATAATTCAAAAAAGAGCAATATCACTTTTGGCAAGCTTAAGTTTGGCAGGTAAGAATGCAAATAAGAGCACTTTATATTGCAGATCTGGGCTGTGCTGTAAAACAAAAAATACCATTCCCCATTTTTAGCATCCAAGACTGCTGGCAGATGGTTCTTGCACTGGGGCTGTAACTGAGCTGCTCAAACAAATGCAGTTTGCTGCTGGGGGCTGAAAACTGGGGGAGACCCATGGTCAGCCTGGCATCAGCAGCAGGGAGAGGACATCTGCTGCAGCACCTCCACGAGCCCCAGGAGTCCAGCATCTCCTGTTCACTGCAACTACATCTCAAAAGGCAGAGACAAGAAGTGTGGATTGCTGCAGGAACATTTTAACTCACAAATAACATGCAAAGCTATTCACCTGTATGTAGATACCTCTGGGCTCCCTACTGCTACTGGAGCAACAGCAGCTGTTTTCGAAGGTCAGTGCACTCAGTTTTTTATGGTTTACATATTCTCACATCTAAATAATGAATTTTAAGGGGAAAAGGCATTTGCAGCTGCTTTGGGTACAGTGCCAGTCCATAAGACACATGAGGTGTTTGGCACTCTGACAGCAGAAGGCTCTCAGGGGGTGTGTGTTGTGTCACCACCTGGTCATATTTCCTCTCCAGGCCCATTAAATGAGAGAACTGAGAGACTGGCAGCAGAGCTGTGAGTGAGCAAGCAAGGAGTAAAACACTGTCTGTCAATCTCTTTGCTCTCTCTCCAGGACCAAGGGTGATGCTGAGCACCAAGCAGCAGCTGGTCCAGGGCCACCCTCAGATCCTCAGGGCTGCTCCATAAATCCTTCCTTCTGTACCCTACTCTTCCCTGAAGCCAGTCTCATTCTGGCATGTGCATGGGCAGTTGCAATTTCAGCTCCAATTTTGGGTCCTTTTGCTTTCCAAGCACTCTCCTTCCATCTGGGACAGGGCGTGCACCAAGGTCAGTCCCCAGTGCTTCTTGGACCTGTCTGCTGCCCAGCAGGAGCATCCCCAGGAAGAAATGATTTGACTTTAAATCTGAGCTGCTTTATCCTTGAAAATATTCATCACTCAGCAATTTTTTTGGACTCTTTGCAGCTTGCTTTTAAAGTTTGCCGCCCCACTTAAGGTCAGCCTTGCTGATGCTTCCATGGTCAGTCCTGCAAAATGCTTAATTGGCAGAAGCTGGAAGCAGGAGCAATCCCAGTGCAGCTGGCAGTGGCAGATGGACCTGACAGGAACGAGGCTAATTGAGCCTCTCAGGCTCAAAAACCCACACTGCTTTTTTACCAAGCTAAGTCCCATTTCCAGGGGTGTCTGGGTGAGGCTGTGCAGTGGTAAGCACCACCTCTGCCACCCCTGGCACTTCCCCTGTCACCCCCAAAGCTGACAGGGGTGGTGGAAGCATTGGGTGGGTGCTGTCCCCTAAGGCAGGGGACTCAGTGACGGAGGGGCAGGGACAGCCCCACCCTGGCTGTGCTCTCCCAGCTCCCTGCACACCCCCTGACCCTGGCACAATCCACCTCCTTCCCCGGCATGTTAGTTCTGCTCTTTGCTGACTGCACTACACAACAGTACAAGAGACTTATACAGGAACATCTCCTGCTGTCAGCTTAATTTAGAACCCAAAAGTTCATTTCCTTTCTCTCCAATTTAGCTTTGCATTTCCAATTGTCACCGGCAGTCCTTTCAATGCGGCACGGACATCACTGTATTGGAAAATCATTACAATGACAGATTTTGTTTTGCTGAGACCTTCCACTACTGAATCTAATTACTGCTGATACTTTATGAGCTCCTCCAGCACGAGATAATTGCTGCTTTCTCTTTTTATGACCAAGAAATAATCAGTTGTCTTTTAAGGTGAGAAACATAAACAGCAATTAAACACCATGGTTCTCCATGCCCTCTTGTCAGCTGGCACCTCTCAGAAAGACAACACAGAAAAAGGTTAGGCTCCATTTATTTTTTGCCCCAAACACATTGTTTGAAAAGGAGGGAATAGGAACGCTCCTAAATGATAGACAGTGTTCTCCAGCTTAGGAAATGTGTATTTTATTATGGAGAAGCAGGAGCAGCTCACAAGCAAAGCAGTTTGCTCACAATGCTCAGCATCATCACCCAGCCCTTTACAGGATCTGGCCACAAGAAAAGGTGTAGGGACAGCAACAGGCTCGAGCATCACGGGGAACAAAACCACACTTAACTCTAGCAAAAATATGCTGCTTTGGTCAGCTTTCACCTCTTCCAGTGTTTCTAAAAATATCCATTAAATGTATGAATCTTTTAAACATCCTGCTACCCCATCAGCATGGGACCCTTGGTTACAGCATCACATGGGGAGAAGATGGAGCAGAAGGAACCTACCCCATCCCTGAAAGTGCCCAGGGCCAGGCTGGATGGGGCTTTGTACTCCCCTGCTCTAGTGGAAGCTGTCCCTGCCCATGGCAAAGTGGTGGAACCTGATGAGGTTTAAATTCCTTTCAAAACAAATGTATCCTGTTTGAACACTGGAGACAGGTTTCTCTACCACCCACAACAGCTTCTTTTCTGGTTTGTTTTTTTTTTTTTTTCCCCCTGCTTCTTTACATGAACAAAGAAGTGCCTGCCTTTGAATAATTCATTGATGAGGTTTGTACCACTTTGTTCACAAAATCACAGTGGGGAACAGTGTTTTTCATTAAATACTTCTTTGCCAGCTCCTCTCTGTGATGGGGTTTTGCTCTGCTTGCTCTCTTGCCAAAAATCTGCCAGGCAGGAAGAGCAGCACACCCCACGGGCTGATGAAATGAGGGGTGGGAGGATGCTGGGGCAGCACTCCCTCACCTGGCCTGGGAAACCCTGCACTTGGGATGAGGGGTTGTGGTGTCTGCTTGCTCTCTTGCCAAAAATCTGCCAGGCAGGAAGAGCAGCACACCCCACGGGCTGATGAAATGAGGGGTGGGAGGATGCTGGGGCAGCACTCCCTCACCTGGCCTGGGAAACCCTGCATTTGGGATGGGGGGTTGTGATCCTTCAGTGTCACAGCAGGAAGGTGCCTCCAGTGCTCCAGATCTCCCTGTTCCTCTCCACAAATTAATGATGGAGGTGACCAGCTGAGGTTTATGTAGATAGCCTTGACCTGCTGCAATTAAGGCAGGTGAATCCTGCCACAATTTGCTGAATTGAGAAGGGGAAAGTGTTCTTATGAATAACCATCCTGCTTCTGCTGCAGAAGTCTCATCCAAGGTAATACCCAAATGCTTAGATGCCTGATTTATAAGCAGGGAATAGACCATCTTCCTCTTGCAAAATATTAGGAAGAATTAGTCATGTATATTCACATCAGATTGGAAAAGCAGAGGTGGAAGGCATCACAAATAGCAAGCTGAAATGAATTACTAAGATCTCTATTAGTGTGCTAACATTTATTTAAAATACATAGTTGGCAAACCTGACGGTCATGAAAATTTCTAGTAATGAATATAAATGAGACATGAACAGACAGAAACCTACTCATAAAAAATTAGTGTTGTCCTGATTTTTTTAACTCTTTCATAATGTTGATAAAAAATCGCTAACACTTCAGAAAGATCAGTGCTTGGCCAAAGACTTTTGCCTTTAATTTATAGTGGCAAGACATCAACACGTTAAATATGTGCCTTCACTTTCCATGCTGCCTTCCTCACAAAAATCTAATGGAAGAATTTTAATCAAGCAAGGAAATCAAGCTCTTTACTCAGCAGCAAGAAGGGATAGAAATTTGCCATTGCCCATTCTAACTCCTGCAACTTCTTATCATTGTCACTTCTTTAATGTGGAGTAATTTGAGTTTCTCTTCTAGCTTCAAAGATAGATGGAAGGGAGATTTCAATGTGTATTGCTTGCAGGAGGGTGTAGCTGGATTGGGACGTGCTTACAACTGCTTGGAAAAAGCAAAACCTTCCTCCCTGGCTTGGCCCTCAGTGTACTGCCTTGCTGCTCACCAGTGAAGAGGAAAACTGCTTTTTATTCATCATGGCACAAAACAACAAGGCAAATGTGGTTGAAGGTGGAAGTGGGAGAAGGGATTGATTATCCTGAGGCAATAAACATCACTGATACAGCCCGGCTGCACTATTAAGTGGTGTGGAAGGATAGGAAAATAATTTCAAAGGAACTAAAGCTCTATAAATACTTCTCTCAGCCTGGTAAGATGACAAATGAGTGGTGCACCTCTCAGCAGGGATGTTCATGTGGTACATCAGCTCAGATTTTACAGGTATTCATAAATGAACTTCAATATGCTTCTTGGTCAGTGTCACTGTCTATAACAGTCCAGTATCATTATCACATGATGGATTTTTAATGACCTAGGGTTACTTTGCACATATAAACCAGGTCATTATGTCTTGGTTGTGGTGCTTGCATGATTCCTCTGCAGTCCTTCAAGCACACAGCTCTCTAGCTTCTCATACAGCAGCTTCACACTTGGCAACTGCATTTGGAAAACAGGTTGCCTTCCAAGGTGGAAGCTGCATTTAAAGGCAGCTCTATAATATGAAGTTTCCAAAATCCCTCTCAGTGATGCCAACAACAACTCATGCATTCCAAATTCCCCCTGGGAGACCCAGAGGCTGTGTTGTCTGCAGAGCAGGAGGACACAGCACTGCTGAAGAGGATGAGACCTTTCAGAGTTATGTGCTCTGTTAATGCAGCTTTCAGGCCGCTCACTCCGAGCCTGTGAAACGCGAGGTGCAGGAAGGAGCACTCACCCGTTTGGTGTAGTCCATGGCCTTCAGGATGGAGAGGTTCAGCATCTCCAGGGAGGCCAAAACATCCTCATAGTCTCCCATATGGTCAGCAAAATAGTCTGGGAAAACCAAGAGAAGCATGATGGGAACATTAATGTAACCTGAGGCTACTTGGCACAGCAAGATCTATTATTGGTGGTAACATAAACCTGCAAGGATGGCTCCAGGGGTATTTTTATACTCTGTGTCCTCAGCCAAAGTCACAGTTTGTCCTGCAGGGATGGGAAGTGGTGTTATTCCCATGAAGTTCGGGACCATTGCAGAAAGGAGATGTAAGACCCAGTAGCTCCCATAGAAAATAACTCATCAGGTTCTTTATTTCTATGCCTACTTCTGCATTTGATTCTTTATGGTCTCTCTCCCTCCTACTGCTGGCATGGAGGAAGAGGTCTCAAAAGAAATCCCCTTTCCATTCCCTTGACATTCTTTGCCACTCAAAGCATCCAAATACCTTCCAATTCACCCCAATTTATATGAGCTGAGGCTGGCCTTACATCTTTCCCTGCATTCCTATCACATTTACACTTCAGCCCACAATCACAGGTTGAACAAGCTTTTGAGAGTAAAATATGCCTTGAAAGGAAGAGAATGGAGCTGCAGGCTGGGCCCAGAATCATCACGTGTTCTCCACAGAAGGAGCCATACATCCTCTGTGCCATCCTTGTCCTTTCCCTGTTTCTGGTGACTGACACAGAGCACAGCAAAAAGCTGTTCCCTAAAAGCCGCTGGTGCTGCTCCCCAGCACTAGGGCAGAGAGCTTCACACTGAGGTGACACCTCTGTGAAGTGCAGCAAGACAAACTTCAGGAAACAATCCCACTAATTAGGTTTTCTTGGCTTAATTAGAAGTGCCTATAGCTATTTACAGTCTGAGAACATATCCAAAGGGAAGAAGATTTTGGCAGAACCGGAATGTCACAGCATGACTGACAGCAGCTGTTCCACGATAAGTAAACAGCTTACTCTCACTGCACTGTGTTTGTTTGGTTTTTCCTTCCTACTTGGGAAAGAAAAATTGAGCAGATCTGATAGGAAAAGACTTTTTCTAAGTCCTGAAATAAAAAGCTGGACCCATCCACTCAGCAGAAATGAGCTGTTGTGGGCACAGCACAACCCTTGAGACTGACCAAGGAGCATGTGGGAGGAGAACAGAGTTGACTTTAACAAGTATTCAGCTCTGCTGCTTTAGCATTATTTATTCACATGAAGCTACAGGCTCAAGAAATAACTTTTGAGATTCTTTCAACATTTTATAACACACAACCCATTCCAAGAGAGACATCAATTTAGAAAAACTGAGGGTTTATGTTTAATACTTAGAAGAGAAGCAAGCAAATAAATCACAGCAAGGGCAGGTATTCAGCAGATAACAGATCTAGGCAGGAGCTTGTGCTGATCAATCCTTTCTCTGGCTTCCCCTAGCTTTCCCAGGAGGTGATGGGGTTATCTCCATTCTCTCCTGGCAGCTTCACCCCTGGGAGAGGCAGGGAGATGGGATCACACTGGGTGACAGCCATGCAATTTCCTGATTTTATCAGAGTGATGGAGAAAGCTGTGAGGGGTTAAACAATGCCATTGTTACCCCAAAGCTGTGGGGGTTTGATTTCTTGGGTCAGCTGGCAGGGAGACCTCATGCAGGAAGAATGGGGGGATGGGAACAAGCCCTTCATATCCTCAGCAGACCAAAAGGATTTTATGGCAGTCTTTGTTTCTTGCCTACCAAAGCAAGGACAAGCAGGCATAGCCAGTGGAAAGGGGAAACATTGCTGCTTTTGCTGCCAGCTTGGATGCTCAAAGTGGTGTGGGCAGGGGGTGAGGACACCAGGAGGAGAGAAACCCTGGGCAATGTCCTGGTGCAGGCACACCCAGGGACAGAGAAGTCTTTAGGGTATCAGGAATAAGGAGTAACTGCCTGGTGCTGGCACAGGCACCCAGTAACCCCATCTCTGTCTGCACAGCCTGCTCCCAGCCAGACTTCCAAAGGCTGGAATTAGCTGCAAAGTGATGAAGGTAAATGGTGAAGAACTGCTGAGGTGGCTTCATATGTTCTTCTGTATCCTGGCACAGGAGGGGAGGAGAAGAGATGGATGAGCTCTCTGCAAGGCCACCCACCTCTCCATCCATCTCCTCCCAAAAAGCTGGAGTGCAGGAAACACTTCCCAGTGTCAAGCATCCATAGGAAAATACATCTGAGTGAGCAGTTTGAGGCACCTCCTAATGAAGCAAAGCCCTTCAGAAATCCCAGCAGGAAACATTCCCTTTCTGGTCAAGGTGTGGGACAAAATATTGTCACAGATTTTCTGTTCAGCTTTTAATTTTGGCAAGCTGTGGGAGGTACAGCAGAGGTAGTGCACCCCTGAGGCAGCCTGCTGGGAAACAGGAAGGCTGGCCTAGGGAGAAAATGTTACAGGTCTTGCAGGGGGAAATGAGTTTATTGAGCTTCAGAGCAAAGCTGGAAGCCACAACACCTCCAGAAATTAAACTCCAGCTTGTTATTGAACAGGGTCTGTGTGCTTCGCTTAGCTCTGACCCCATTTGTGCTGCAAGAAAATGAAAAAAGTTCTGCCAATTTTCCCGTGGAATAAGGAGCAGAGCAGCAGCAGGGCTGAGATCCCCCAGCTCCACAGCACTGCAATCTCTGCTGGGTTTCATGCAGCCTTCAAAGGCCCTCATGCACACAAAGATTGCTGTTGCCCAAAAGGAGGGAGCGCACTCACCACACAGCTCCTTGGTGTCCACATTGCTGCAGGAGGGGGACAACGAGGCAGGGAGGAAGCAGGAAAAAACAAAGAGAGAGAAAGAAAGACAACTTTAATGACAAGGACAGATGAAGGCTGCAGTTAGAATTCCCACAGGCTTAACTCCTGGTGCCCTCCTGCAACATCAGCCACCCCCTCAGCATCCCCCAGCCACCAGTGGGGACAGCCTGTGGAGAAGAGCAGGGTTGGTTCTCTCAGGGCATCTTCAGCATCTGTGCAGCTGGAACAGGTTCACAAGTTATTTTGGATGCTCCCTGAGAGGGAAATGGGTACTTGTACATCCCCCTGAGGAGGGGGATTTGCCCAGGGGGACCCAGCATCCAGGCACATCAGCTCCTCTGACTTCCTTACAAACATCCAGCCTGGCAACACCCTGGTGAGACACTTGATGTGGCTCAGGAACTTGTTTGTTCCCATTTGCTCAGAACAAAAATTTGCAAAATATACTTTTCTCAGTGGACCAATTCTCCTAATTCTGCCCTTATGAAGCAGCTCTTGCCCGGGACTGCCTCCAGACACAATGGCACAATTACTCCTTAACACATGAACATTTAGTTTACATAACAACCTCTCAGCAGACAACCTGCTTGGGAAATAAAGATTGCTGCTAATCTCTCTGTGCCTCCTATTCCCACACAATCATTAGTGCCATTCAAAGACTGGAATGATCCCTTAATAGAATTATATCTTATCCATCCATTTATATCCTGGGAAGTTATTTCTTTACCCAAACTCATCCCTGCTCTGTCTAACCTGCCAGCACAAGTGGATTAGGGCTTTCCCTGCCAGCCTCCTCCTGCAGCCCTGCCTGGACACCCAGATCAAGGCAGGCACAGATGCCTGGAGCCCAGGAGGTGCTGCCTGAGCCTCCCCTGTGTCCTGCTGGCAAAGCAGGTGCTGCTGAGCCACAGCCCCTCTGGGTGAGCTCTGCCTGCCGTGGGAGAAGGAGTCACCTCTGTCTCGGGGCCCTCGTGCTGCAGGACACACCTGCAGGGCTGCAGCCGCCCCTCTCTGCAAAATGAGCTTCTCACTGCTTTGTCTTCGTCCTCTTGGAGACTTGTCTGCCTCAAACCCTGGAATTACTTCCCTGGATCCTACCAAGCCTCCTGGGGATGCGGTGGGCTCAGCTTCCCTGATGTTCTCATGGATCCATGGAGCCCACGGACACAAAGCGCTGTGCACCAGAGCGATCCTGATCCCAGGGGCTCTGGCACTGCTCAGCCCTTGGCAGCAAGGGATTCCCAGCAGGGAGCTGCAGCAGTGCAGCAGCAGAGGAGCTCAGGTGAGCCCCAGCAGATGCATTTCCAGCACTGGCACAGGACCTGGCTGGTTGTTCCCCAAAGCACACAGCCTGGGAAGTCAAATGTTGCTTGCAGACACATGCACAAGAGTAGTTTTGACACCAGCATCACCCATGAAGTGTTTCAATATTATTTTTCAGAAGGCAATTATTGTTTATAAACACCTACTGATGTGGTCATGGGTTTGCAGCTAGGGCATGCTACTGAGAAAAAAAAAAATCTGTTATTTTATTCCATGTGATTCTGCATTGTAATAATCTATCTGCTTTTTCAGAAGGCAATTATTGTTTATAAACACCTACTGATGTGGTTATGGGTTTGCAGCTAGAGCATGTTACTGAGAAAAAAAAAATCTGTTATTTTATTCCACGTGATTCTGCATTGTAATAATCGATCTGATGCTGCCAAAATTGGTCTTTTATTTCCTCACATCTTGCCATTGTATGATTTAACTTAATTGTGCTTGAATGTTAACGCAGCTGAGAAGTTGCTTTTAATTTTAAGCCATCTTGCCTTCAGAATAAGGCTAATGAAAGAAATTACTGAAGTCACAAGCTGACTTAATAAAAAAATATGATAATGTTGAGATGAAAAACTGTAAGGAGAAATCAGTGGGTACTTGAGCAGGCTGTTTCCATCCCCCAGGAGTCTGCCTGCTGGGAACATTGCTGACACAGAGCCACGTCCCCACCACTCTTACAGGGGGTTCTGGCCCAGCCTGGGAGCTGCACAGCAAAAGCCACGTGCAATACCCAGCTACAAAACAATTTACAAGCTGATCTGGTGGTTTAATAGTTTAGTAACTAAGCCCCACCTGCGTTATGCCAGCAAGGATTTTTATTCTGCAAACATTCAGGATCTGGGGTTCAGGCCTGGTGAGATGGGGGGTGGCAGCTCCTGATGAGCTCCTTTGTCATCCCCAACCCTTCATCCCTGAGCCTCCCCTCAGAGGACATTTTTGGAGCAATCATATATCACAAATCCCTTCAGAAGAAAAACATTTACGTGAGCATTAGCTACCAATCTTTTTTTTTCAGATGTCAGATATTTAACACTCCTGTACACAACAATAAGCTAAAAAGAAAAATCGTGACAAGTTGTTCTCGTGTTTTCAGGAAAATAATTAAAAAAGTCTTTCAAGTACCAGAACATTTGGCTGTGAATTAGCTTTCGATTTTTATTACATTAATATGACTAATTCAAAAGCTTATTGAAGCCATAACCCAACTAACTAAGCAGAATATAATGAAGTTTAAGTAGAAATGAAGGAATAATTAAAGATTTCTGTGTCATACAATTTCTTCTGCATAGTAGAGCCCACATATATCTGATTTTGTTCCAAAACAAAAGTCTTTCTTTCAAAGGAGAGAAAAAATCCAAGAAAATCTAAGTATTTTTGAAAATCCAGGCCTTTTCTCTGTTTTCCAGCCAATGAGTCTGTAGCATGGAGCAGCAGAACCCTGCTGTGGTGTACCCTTTGAGGAGACTTTCCAAGGCAAAGATGTACTTTGGAGATCCTCCATCTGCCATTTGGACATAATTGCTCCAAGAGAAGTAAGAGGCAAAGACAAGAGCTCAGATTTCAACCCAGATCACCTTCTGAAAGGCATAGCCCAAGCCGTGAGCTACTTTGGCCACAAAAAGGGACAGTTTATTGCTCACCACTCCCCCCCTTTTAAAGACACTGGGATCTTTGACCAGACAAACATATTGGCAATGGGGAAATTGTTTTCTCTCCTGGTTCACATCCAGCTATTTCAAAGAAAAAGAAAAGACCTCCGAGCATGATACTCCTCCTGTGTGTGTGGGAGTTTAAAGAGCAATGACCATGCTGTGAGAGCATCCCCTCAGCGGGCTTAATTAAGTGAGTTGTCCAGAGAGTAATTACTGATGCATGACTTGTGCAAGCAAGGGGCTGCCCAGAGTGATGTCTGTGCCTCCTGCATACTCCAGAAAGAAAAACATTTCTCCCCACAAGCCCCACCCAGCATTAAATTGTGGTTTGATGAGCACCTGAGCTAATGAGGATCCCTGGGAAGTCACTTCTCTCTTGCCATGTCCCTGACTGGGCATTGTCCATGGACAGGCTTTTATCAGAGCTGTCCTGCACTGACTCTGCTGCTTTTCCATCAGTTCGGAAGCTTTTTTATTTCTGTAAATGCCTTTCCTGAAACATGCTGCCATCTTTGAGACTTCATCCCAGGAAGAAGGCACCATCAGACAGAAGTCCTGCTGCATCAGGGTGTCCAGCAGCCCCGGGGTGATGGCCTCAGGCTGAGCATCCCAGCACCAGACCTCTGGGTGGGTGATGGCACCACGCAGCCTCCAGGCCTTGGGTCAGAACCTCCAGCTCATTGGTCCAGATCAAAATAACACTTTCTTAAAGCAAATCAGTGTTTTCCACCAGGAAAAAAACCTCTATTTCTGGAAATTCTCTGTGATGATTATTTGCGTTAGCTCTTACTGAGCAAGCCCAGTGGAGTACAGCACAGGAGGGAGCACCCAGGGACATCCCTGGGGTGTCAGCATGGCAGGGTCAGGATGGCCTGGGCCAGTGCTGCTGCTGACCTGCAGAGGTTCCTTGCAGCAATCCCAGCCAGGAGTGCAATCCAGCCTCTCTCTTTCCCAGCATCTCCCTGCCTCCCTAAGGCGAGGCTGATGGCCTCTGACTTGCTGTCCTTAACATATTTTTCCAGATTTCAGCTGAAGAGAGGAGAGGAAAAGTTATCTCAGAATGAAAAAAGATAATGTGGAGGAGAGGAGGATGAAATTCCCTTCCTGGGTTTCAGCTCAGCCAGAGGAAAGGTGTCCCAGGCACTCCCAAAGGGCAGTACAATCAGAAACTTAACAGGAATTCAGAAGTTGCAAATACATCAAAGTCTCATCTTCACGTTTCTCATGCAAATATCTGCCTGGATGTGCTGCTCAAATGCTGCTCAGTGCCCCATCAGCTTCAGCTGAAGATAATAACCCTTTTCCTTGGGCAGATGAAAGGTTTGCATCAGCAGCCACACGGCTTAGTCACTTCACCAGCACACAAAATGGAAGGGTTTTTTTCCTGAAATCACGTTCTACTTTTATTTCCATCTTTTATTCAAAGCTTTGGGTTTGCTACAAGGCTTCAAACGAGCACGGAAACAAATTATCCTCTAGCATTAACCACCTGCAGAACTCATTTTCATTTAGGAAAGACTAAAAAACAACAAGTGCAGCTGGAGTGTATTATTATATCTGATGATAAGGCTTCCAGCCCCATCAGCAACAGTGCTGTGTTATCTCAACACCTCAGAAGTGGCAAATGTGCATCCAGATGCCTACTAAGGGGTCACAGATGGTCACTTCTGATCATTAGTCTGAGCTCAATGAAACATGTTTTACACAAACCCCAGAGTGAGAGAAATTATCCCAGGCAGAGCAAGAGAAATACCAAATACTGGAAGCCAGTCAGGAGCTGAATATTTCTAAAGAATTAAATAACTTTCCAAGCCCATCATTGGATCTTCTGGTGAATTCTGGTAAATCCTTCCCAAGACCTGTCCAAATACCTCCCTTATACCCACCTGATTGCTTCAGGAAAATACTCAAACCACTCCTATGGTATTACTCATAAAAAGACCTCCAAAATCTGGTGTGCCACATGCAAAGAAACAGCAGAAACCATGTGCCAAGGCTGTCCACAGCCA